TTTAATATAATTTAACCAAGTTTTACTTTTACCATTTAGACATCTGTCTAAACTCTTGATTTTGTCCAGCAACCTTAATCAGGTACCACTAGTCCATAAAAACCTTATAAACCCTAAGAAATTTTAAAATTCTAAGAAAAAAATTGAAATTTTTCTATACTATACCACTTGGATAAATATAGTCATATATAGTATATATAAAAAAAAATAAAAAAGGTAAAGAGTTCGAAAATTCATAGGGCTCATAGAGCTCTTAAGGACAAGTAGTAAATTGCCTTCTCAAAGTTCTAAAATCGTTAAAGAAGATACATCTAGCATTCTTGTTAAGTTTTTTTGCCATCCTATAAATTTTTCATAGGGCTAAATTTTTGATAAGTCATTAGGGTTAACTTATAGCATTAGGCATTTTCATTCTATTAAAAGCTTAACTCATTGCCTTCAGGGTCTGACAGTTCTGAAATATCTTATCCAACTTTTTTCGATGATAATATGCATTCAAGTGATATTTTTTTACATGCCAATCACAAAATCCATATTCAGAAGCCGTCAGTCTTTCACATCTATCTTATTTGTATAGAGGTTGCTGGCGTCTTTTCCAGTGAATATAACACCCTTTTGGTTTTCTACTTCCTTACCCACAAACCTCCCCTTCATTAGAACGATACTAGCAAATGTATTTATCGCCCATTGATATTATTCTTAGATAAATAACAATTCGATATCTATAATTATTTATTTTTATTTTAAACTTTTTTGTTAGGGTATTATACTGAAACGGTATACTAGATAACATATCTGAAAATTTTTACTATGACATAATCTGAGCTTTCAGAGTTCTTCAACGCCTCATCCTATTTTTTCACCCAGAGGCTAAAAAAGATAAAATGGAAGGCCAACTGATTCGCAATTCTTGAAGATACTCTATCTAAGCAATAAGATATTCTATTCATAGCCCTTGAGAATGAAGAATCAACAGAAAGGATAAATGGAATGTACTACTATATTTTGCGTCTTTATGGTCACCTTATTAATGGTCAAAAGGCATTGGTAACTCTTAATGACATTCAAGTTTTCTTTGACATTCACATACCAGATGGAGAGACTCCAGATGAATGTGAAGAAGAGGTGAGCGAAATTTACTCTGACATTATTAAATCGTTTAAAATTGAGCATATTAAAGCTTTCCTTTTCGGGGTTATTATACTGAAAAAAGTCATATTTATGAATTTATACGAATGGTACATAAGAGAGAAAGAAAGCCATCAAAGCTATCAAAGAAAGTAATTTCGAAACTGCTTCAGATGATTTATACTCATTTCACGAAAGGTAGCTCAAGAAAATGGAATCCAACTCTTTGGATTCCACAATAAACAAATATATATACAAGAAAGGCAAGCAGACCAGCCTGCTCTGTCCACATGAATTCTATGTATCTATAAAAGATTTCTGTCTACTAGAGGATTTCACAATAATAAGTGACTAATTTTCCGTTTCAATATCTTGCGAGATCATACTCTTGTCTTCACTTGGGATATAAAGACCCAATCACGATAGTTGAGTGAATTTGCCGAAGTTCTTGATTTGAATCATAATGTTTTTATGATTGGAATGATACTGTATTAGAAAGATGATCCAAAACCACTAAAGCAATTATGTCTTGTCAATGTTGAAATAGAATCAGATCCACACTGGACTACAATCATTTACAGAAATCAAGTAAATCTGCTAAAAGCATTTGCCTTCTGCTAGTAAGCATTTGCCTCTGACATTCAAGTTGGATTTAATGATTCTGACTATAATTGGCATTTTATTATGGAAAGGGTCTATCATCTCAATATACTCAAATGGATGTAGAAGCAAATGATAGGAAAGTTCGAAACAAAAGAAGAAATCCTAAAGTAAAAATACTGTGGAAAGATAGGAGCGAAATCTAAAAATAATTTTAATATGAATGGAAAGAAAAAGGATACAGATGAAGAGGGAACTATATAGGGATCGGGTGAGAAGATTGAGGAAAAGAAAGATTATATGGAAGCAATTAAGATCAAAATTACTGCAGAAGAAGATTTCTTTTCCAGTTTTCTCAAACTGCTAGGTTGCGTACCAATTATACATAAAGTCGAAATTAAAACCCAAAAAGTTGAAATGAAAAGTCGAAATAGTCGAAATTACGTCATATCACATGATTTTTATATATAGAAAAAACAAAAAAAAACAAA